GAGAAAGCCAGGGGAGAGAGCGAGGAGAGACAGCCAGGGGAGAGAGCGAGGAGAGACAGCCAGGAAAGAGAGAGGAGAGAGCGAGGAGAGACAGCCAAGACAGAGAGAGGAGAGACAGCCAGGAGAGAGAGCGGAGATACAGCCAGTGGAGAGTGAGGAGAGACAGCCAGGGGAGAGTGAGGAGAGACAGCCAGGGGAGAGAGCGAGGAGAGACAGCCAGGGGAGAGAGAGGAGATACAGCCAGGGGAGAGTGAGGAGAGACAGCCAGGGGAGAGAGCGAGGAGAGACAGCCAGGAAAGAGAGAGGAGAGACAGCCAGGAGAGAGAGAGAGGAGAGACAGTCAGGAAAGAGTGAGGAGAGACAGCCAGTCTTAAAGACCCCCGATGTCTCCATAAAGAGGACCTGTCACTGCAAATTGGCGTATATAAGATAAAATGATACCACTATAGTGTGTAACAATTACACATCAACCGATATGGTTGATAACCTATAAGCATCTGTGTAAGAATACCACCTCTATGAGAAGCAGTGACATGGAAAAAGAAGTTATACTCCAACCAAAGTTAGATAATTAATCAGCCACATGGCTTTACTTTATTGATTAGATAAATATAATTGATACATTTGGGAGAGTATGAACACAGCAGACACGGTGACAAGGACCTTATATTACAATTGGCAACGTTGTCAATGCATCACACTTATTAAAAACAATGAAACAACATCATATCCAGGACCCTTTCTATTTAAATATTATGACCACTGATATATATATCGCTGTAATTGATGGCAGAGACCACCTCGAGGTGAACATCCACTCCCCTCTAGAGCACAAAACACATTCCAATATATGGTAACCCCTTCCTGGGTACTGGTGAAGAATTTAGGAATGATTAATTCGGCTCTGGTGTGTTCTCCTTGTAGCTGACAGAGAAACATTGCTTCAATGAATTTACACTTTGATGGCAGAGTAGAAACTGTTGCGCTTTTGAGATTCAAAATAACATTTCATTCCATGAGGACAGCAAACCGAGTGCAAATTGGCTATCACATGGGGGCTTGTTTGCTCCCTATGTGATAGCAATAAAGTTAAGTGGAAAAAAAAAAGTTTAAAAAAAATTAAAGTTACGAATCAAAGCAATAAAAAATGAAAAAATAAACAATTAAAGTCCCCCGCCCCCACATGCACGCGCAAACATGCGTCGAGTCCGCCTACGTGCGAAAATGACAATCACATCCATTGCGCCGCACGTGTTACATATCGCCGCGGACGTCTGAGCGAGAGCGATAATTCCCGGCCCGCCAATCACCGATAACACTAAACTGATGAGCGGTAAAAGCTTTTAAAGCGTCGGCTATTGTCAATTTTGGGTACGGTCGTTTTTTTTTGCTATCTAGCCGACGCACGCAGTTTTAAAGCTTGACGTGTTTGGTGTCTATTTACCCGACGTGACCCCGACTTTTATATTTTACCCAAAAAAATTGGGTGATAATAATTGTTTTATAACATAACGGAGGGAAAACAGGTTTTTTTTTTCCAAAATTTTCGGTACTTTTTTCGTTATCTACTAAAAAAAAAAACCCGCAGCGGTGATTAAATACCCCCAAAAGAAAGCTCTATGTGTCCCCAAACAATGGTAACAAATGTATTTCAGTGCAGCGCTGCATGACGGAATAAATGTCAGTCAAAGTACCGCAGCGCTGAACACTGAAAAATGTCCGGGACGGGAAGGGGGTGTGACCACCGCGGTCAGCAAGCGGTTAATGAAGGTTGGACGGCCTCGGACCAGGTCAGCCTTAACACCGGTGGGCTGCAGGACCATCGTAGAGTAACGTCAATGACGGCCGCCGTCACGAGGGAGGAAGATTCTTCATCGTTATACTGAGCGGGAGTTTCAGTTCTTCTGGCAGCTCGGCGTGTGCTTCTGCAGCCATAAGAGGTCCGGTTCATATCCCGAGACATCAACATCTGCTTAGTTACTGCTTGGACGGGTGGCCACGCCCCTTCTCGTGGCACAAATGAGGGATTCCTGCAGCGGAGACAAACACAACTCCAGCCATTACGTTGTTTGTATATATATATATATATCACTGGCGTGTGACACATTTATCAAATGCAATGCCCAGAGATGGTCCATGTACAACTAAAGAACAACTCCGGTTACATTTGCATCAACCCTTCCAATGGGACCAGCTCCGCACTGCAAGGGTTCATTGCTTGTTATTGCCTAAGGTCAGAGATCACAAAGTTATACTCACCTGATCCTCTGAGCTGGCTGGCTAGGATACCGCTCCCTCCAGCCTCTCTCCTCCTCTACTGCAGCGATGGCAGGTCCCTCGGCATCCTAGTGTCCTATACACTGTATGTAGAACGTGATGACTCGGGGACCTTAGTCCACTGCAGCGGAGGGGGAGAGAGGCTCCAGGAACCAGTCTAAGAAAACATGATCTTCTATTTGCCTTTCCTCTCTTTTCCCCCTGGCTGTCTCTCCTCTCTCACTCTCCTGGCTGTCTCTCCTCGCTCTCTCTCCTGACTGTCTCTCCTCACTGTCTCTCCTGGCTGCCTCTCCTCACTCTCTCTCCTGTCTCTCTCTCCTGGCTGTCTCTCCTCACTGTCTCTCCTGGCTGTCTCTCTCACTGTCTCTCCTGGCTGTCTCTCCTGGCTGCCTCTCCTGGCTGCCTCTCCTCTCTCACTCTCCTGGATGTCTCTCCTCGCTCTCTCTCCTCACTCTCTCTCCTCGCTGTCTCTCCTGGCTGTCTCTCCTCACTGTCTCTCCTCACTGTCTCTCCTCACTGTCTCTCCTGGCTGTCTCTCCTCACTCTCTCTCCTGGCTGTCTCTCCTCACTGTCTCTCCTGGCTGCCTCTCCTCGCTCTCTCTCTCCTGGCTGCCTCTCCACTCTCACTCTCCTGACTGTCTCTCCTCACTGTCTCTCCTGGCTGTCTCTCCTGGCTGTCTCTCCTGGCTGTCTCTCCTGGCTGTCTCTCCTGGCTGTCTCTCCTCACTGTCTCTCCTAGCTGCCTCTCCTCGCTCTCTCTCTCCTGGCTGCCTCTCCACTCTCACTCTCCTGACTGTCTCTCCTCACTGTCTCTCCTGGCTGTCTCTCCTGGCTGTCTCTCCTGGCTGTCTCTCCTGGCTGTCTCTCCTGGCTGTCTCTCCTCACTGTCTCTCCTAGCTGTCTCTCCTGGCTGCCTCTCCTCGCTCTCTCTCCTGTCTCTCTCTCCTCACTGTCTCTCCTGGCTGCCTCTCCTCTCTCACTCTCCTTGCTGTTTCTCTTCACTGTCTCTCCTGGCTGTCTCTCCTGGCTGTCTCTCCTGGCTGTCTCTCCTGGCTGTCACTCATTGCTCTCTCTCCTGTCTGTCTCTACTCGTTTATCCTCCTAGCTGTCTCTCCTCTCTCTCTCTCCTGGCTGTCTCTCCTCTCTCACTCTCCTGGCTGTCTCTCCTCTCTCACTCTCCTGGCTGTCTCTCCTCTCTCACTCTCCTGGCTGTCTCTCCTCTCTCACTCTCCTGGCTGTCTCTCCTCTCTCACTCTCCTGGCTGTCTCTCCTCTCTCACTCTCCTGGCTGTCTCTCCTCTCTCACTCTCCTGGCTGTCTCTCCTCTCTCACTCTCCTGGCTGTCTCTCCTGGCTGTCCCCCAGGCAATGGAAGGGCATGGGAACATCTGTTTGAAAAGTACAGTGTAAGGGTACCAGACCTGCGTTTTGGATTGAAGTGTGGGAGGGTAAGAGACCGGTGTTCTGATTGTTAGGGCACATGGGCAGGATACCCGTGTTCTGGAAGGGACAATAGGAGGGCACAATGCTGGTGTTCTGGAAGGGACAATAGGAGGGCACCATGCTGATGTTCTGGAAGGGACAATAGGAGGGCACCATGCTGATGTTCTGGATGGAAGCAAGGGGAGAGCTGTAGGCACGTCTTCAGAAAGGGGACAGATGGTCAGGAGAAATGTGTTCTGGAACAAAGAGTGGGAGGACTGTGTTCTGCATTGTGATGAAGCCTCACTGCACCCAACAACATTCAAACATACATTCCATGTAATAAAATAGAGAAGAGATGCATAAAATCCACATACACATATGCTGGTGTGTGCCCCGTGTACCAGGCACCCCAGAAGGTGCAGTGACCTAGAGGAAGAAATGGCGGCGTGCTCACCAGATAGAAGCAGGAGGCCAGTAGGAGAGCTTTCATCGTCACCTCCAGGTCCATGGGAAATGTCACCGTGTACTTGCTTCCGTCGCTTTTTATCATCCCCACCACATGCTGCTCATCCCGGGATTTCACCTTCCGGACAAAAAGTGTCAGAGACAGAAATCCCAGAAGATAAAGTACAAGATATCCTTATTAATAACATACAGAAAAAAAGATCCTCGAGAACAAGAACCATCCAAATAACAGAGCAAAGATTACTATTGTTCTTTATTCCTGAGTGATGGCAAGTAGACATGTGCGATGCGTTTCGTTACGAATCGAAATTCGTGCGAATTTTCCTGAAATTCGTAAATTCGGAAGCATCCGAAATCCGAATGGCAGTTTCCGAATTTATATCCGAAATACGAAATTCCGTTAACGAATTTCGGATCCGAATTCCTTTGAAACGGGAACTAATATTACCCCTGTAAATGAGGTTGAACAACATGACAAGATTTTTTTTTTAATCCGAGATCCGGATCCGCTGCTGCTGAGAGTCGCATTACAATACACAGGCAGGAAATATGAAATTCCGTTGACGTATTTTCGTTCCGTTACGAACATTCGTTATATTGAAGGTAAAAAGCAAAGTACACTTATATTGGAGTTGATGGTAGTTTTTTTTTATCCGAAATATGAAATTCTGATCCGGAATCCGTTAACGGAATTTGTATTTCGGATAAAAAAACAACAACTACCACATCGACTCCAATATTAACAAAGGTATTTTTGCTTTTTAACTTCATCATAACGAATGTTCGTAAAGTTACGAAAATGTGCCGAAACTAACGAAAATCCGTATTTCGTACGAATCCGAATTGAGTTTCGGACACGAATTACGAAATAACGGATATTCCGAAACGGAACAAATTTTTTGACGGCGCACAAGTCTAGATGGCAGTGGCTGGAGGTGATGACAGTTAGATACAATAGTGAAGACAGATGGCAGTGGGTACGGGTGATGGCAGTGGGTACGGGTGATGGCAGTGGATACGGGTGATGGCAGTGAATACAGGTGATGGCCATAGGGGAGTGTCTGGAAGTGATGGGAGCTGATTGCTCATTTCTACTGATTAAGGTAAATATTCAAAGTTGGTCAGTTTTGGAGGGTTATTGAAAATAAGTGAGCGGATAGGGGGAGGGGTCCAGACAGTTTGGTCTGCACAGTCAATTCTTATCACTGGAGTGATAGATAGGAATTTACAGGCAAGAATTTTTTAAAGACATAAGGGCAATGGAACTTTGGGAGTCACCTGAGTTGGGAAGAGGTATTGGGGGATTAGGGAAGAGTTGTACAGGTTGAAATTGGAAGATGTTCTAGATCAGGGGTGCCCACAATTTTTTTGTGTTGAGATCTACTTTTCAAATGACGAGCTACATGAGATCGACCAACGAAAAACAAACCTCCCTCGCTCTCTCTCTCCTGGCTGTCTCTCCTTGCTCATCCTCCTAGCTGTCATTCCTCTCTCTCATGGCTGTCATTCCTCATTTTCTCTCCTGGCTGTCTCTCTTCACTCTCTTGGCTGTCTCTCTCCGCTCTCTCCCCTGGCTGTCTCTCCTCGCTCTCTCTCCTGTCTGTCTCTCTCCGCTCTCTCCCCTGGCTGTCTCTCCTCGCTCTCTCTCCTGTCTGTCTCTCTCCGCTCTCTCTCCTGGCTGTCTCTCCTCGCTCTCTCTCCTGTCTGTCTCTCTCCGCTCTCTCCCCTGGCTGTCTCTCCTCGCTCTCTCTCCTGTCTGTCTCTCTCCGCTTTCTCCCCTGGCTGTCTCTCCTCGCTCTCTCTCCTGTCTGTCTCTTTCCGCTCTCTCTCCTGGCTTACCTTGCTGTATTTTGCAAACAATGTAGTGCAACAGGCTGTGTAAACTAATATTCTTTGATGTAATACATAGCACTACAACCCCCAGCATCCACCAGAAAGGTGTCAGGGAGCTCGGCTCAGCAGTCTCAGGCTAATAGGTAATCGTGTGTGCACAGCGAGATAAATATACCAAAATGGAATAAAGGGGCCGCCCTTCCCCCCCTTCCTGATCTACCAGCATCAGCTTTGAGAGCTACTGGTAGATCACGATCTACCTAATGGGCACCCCCTGTTCTAGATGTTGGAAAGGAATAGCCGAGACAAGGGTGACACCAGACAAGAGGTAGACGGAATGGAATTATTCGAAGTTATAGAGATTTCAGGGAGTGGTTCAGCTAGAGATAGAGGAGATGGCAGTTGCCTCCAGCCTTAAAAACAGCAGGTCAACCATAACAATTTACAGATACACTGGAAGGCGGGAGGCACCAAACTTGGCATACCATTATTGGTCTGATCCCACTGCATACCATCCTTTGTTGGGTTGGGTGCCATAGCAATCGTGTAGAAAGCGGTAAAAATTGTCAACACCCCAATCTACAGGGAACATTTGTCTGCTCCTAAGCTATGATATCCAGCATGCCTCTCCAGAAATGGTCATGTAGACTGGAGTCTATGCTGAAGGATCACGCGCATTAGAATATCCTACATGAAATACCTCGAAGGTGACGTTCCCGAAGATGCTGGTGTGGAAGCTGGGACCCAGAATTAAGAAAATAACCTCCTTCGAGGGGTTCATGATGGACAGGTGGGTGACAAGTGTGTTATAATGCAGAGTGGCAAATCCGATCATCCCGGCTGATGGGACAATCACCTCCATCTATAACAGACACAAGTATTAAACAAGTATGAACTCCTTGCATGTGGCTTTTTGCTCTGAGAAAGAAAAGTATTAGTCCTGTTTTTTATCTTTTACACACTAGAAGTTAGAATCCTTCAATCAATCTTTTGCAGAGACATTTTGTTTATGATGTCCAAGCTCATTACATGAGGCTGAGGCTACAGCCATACCCAGACCCTGAATTGTGTGGTCACGGATATGAATACAACGTCAATGGGCTTAGCATAGCTTTAATGTTTCTGGGAGGGCTCTAGTCTATCTGGATATACTTATTGTTGCATTGACTCCTTGAGTGGCGCAGGTGACCTGCAATCTACACAGGTATGCAGCTGAATAAACAGACACACCTGAACTGTGGTCAGCTTCTGGAACCAGAATCAACACTCCTGGATTCCAGGCTGGGCAGACCAGTTTCTATCATATCAGGGTTGTTTACTGTTACATTTTTATATATCCAGAATGTATGAGATGCAACATGGAATCTCTCTGGAGAGTCCCACCATCTGAAGATGAAAACGTTGTTGTATGAGACCCACCAGATAATAGAACCTACCAAAGTTTGGATTATTCTAATGCTGCCCACATTTCATCCCTGACAACCTAGAAAGATTACACTTATTTTTAACCAGTTGTGGACACTAGGCATGCATACATGGCCAAAAAAGTGTCACTGAAGTACAAAGGGTGTGTGCTGTGCACCCGGTCCATCTAGCCTGCTGCTGCCAACCTCACACTCGCTGGCAAATCCTGACTGTCAAAATGGTAGCCAGGAGCTGGTGTGTAAATACATAAAAACAGACCATCTAACACCTTGTTTATAAACATTGACCAGAGGTGAGATAGAGAGATACAAAGTAACATTGTTTATAAACATTGACCAGAGGGGAGATAGAGAGATACAAAGAAACATTGTTTATAAACATTGACCAGAGGGGAGATAGAGAGATACAAAGAAACATTGTTTATAAACATTGACCAGAGGGGAGATAGAGAGATACAAAGAAACATTGTTTATAAACATTGACCAGAGGGGAGATAGAGAGATACAAAGAAACATTGTTTATAAACATTGACCAGAGGGGAGATAGAGAGATACAAAGAAACATTGTTTATAAACATTGACCAGAGGGGAGATAGAGAGATACAAAGAAACATTGTTTATAAACATTGACCAGAGGGGAGATAGAGAGATACAAAGAAACATTGTTTATAAACATTGACCAGAGGGGAGATAGAGAGATACAAAGAAACATTGTTTATAAACATTGACCAGAGGGGAGATAGAGAGATACAAAGAAACATTGTTTATAAACATTGACCAGAGGGGAGATAGAGAGATACAAAGAAACATTGTTTATAAACATTGACCAGAGGGGAGATAGAGAGATACAAAGAAACATTGTTTATAAACATTGACCAGAGGGGAGATAGAGAGATACAAAGAAACATTGTTTATAAACATTGACCAGAGGGGAGATAGAGAGATACAAAGAAACATTGTTTATAAACATTGACCAGAGGGGAGATAGAGAGATACAAAGAAACATTGTTTATAAACATTGACCAGAGGGGAGATAGAGAGATACAAAGAAACATTGTTTATAAACATTGACCAGAGGGGAGATAGAGAGATACAAAGAAACATTGTTTATAAACATTGACCAGAGGGGAGATAGAGAGATACAAAGAAACATTGTTTATAAACATTGACCAGAGGGGAGATAGAGAGATACAAAGAAACATTGTTTATAAACATTGACCAGAGGGGAGATAGAGAGATACAAAGAAACATTGTTTATAAACATTGACCAGAGGGGAGATAGAGAGATACAAAGAAACATTGTTTATAAACATTGACCAGAGGGGAGATAGAGAGATACAAAGAAACATTGTTTATAAACATTGACCAGAGGGGAGATAGAGAGATACAAAGAAACATTGTTTATAAACATTGACCAGAGGGGAGATAGAGAGATACAAAGAAACATTGTTTATAAACATTGACCAGAGGGGAGATAGAGAGATACAAAGAAACATTGTTTATAAACATTGACCAGAGGGGAGATAGAGAGATACAAAGAAACATTGTTTATAAACATTGACCAGAGGGGAGATAGAGAGATACAAAGAAACATTGTTTATAAACATTGATCAGAGGGAGATAGAGAGATGCAAAGTAACATTGTTTATCTCCCTCTGATCAATGTTTATAGAGAGATGCAAAGTAACATTGTTTATAAACATTGATCAGAGGGAGATAAACAATGTTACTTTGTATCTCTCTATCTCCCTCTGATCAATGTTTAGAAACAATGTTACTTTGTATCTCTCTATCTCCCTCTGATCAATGTTTAGAAACAATGTTACTTTGTATCTCTCTATCTCCCTCTGATCAATGTTTAGAAACAATGTTACTTTGTATCTCTCTATCTCCCTCTGATCAATGTTTAGAAACAATGTTACTTTGTATCTCTCTATAAACATTGATCAGAGGGAGATAGAGAGATACAAAGTAACATTGTTTATAAACATTGACATAAATTATTAATGATGTACAAAGTAGATACAATTATATATAATGTACATTACAAATAACGGATGAGTCTTCCATGACCCCCATATTGATCTCAGAGCAGTTTTTAGATCTTTGCAGTAACATGAACCCTCATCTCCCTCCTGTATTATATTATATTATTATACAGGACTTATATGGCACCAACAGTTTGCGGACCGCTGTACAATAATAGGAAGTCATGACCGTTACAATGCAAACCAAGGTGGTAAGAAGAACCCTGAGGGCTTACAATCTAATAATACAAACCGCACCCACCAGTCTACTACAGCGGCATGCGCGGTTCTCCACCACCTCCATGACATTCTGATCCGTGTTATCCCGGACCTTCAGATCATAGAGGGGCCCGCAGAACTGCACAGACTGAGTGGCCTGATACAGTCGCTGGCCCATCACATCGAGAACGTCAAAGAGCCTCCCCCAGCCTTGTGACACTGAGACTGTGGGAATAAAAAATATATAGAAAGAAGAAACTAAATAAAAGATTAAAATAATAAACTTCAAGCAATTATTTTTTTACAAATGTTACAAAAAGAGATGAAAAAAAAACAGACTCGGTTATAGTTTCTCCTGCCTTCCTGGAGCTCCTAGTGAGATGTGAGATCTCATAAACCCTCACCATCCCGTCCCCATCACTCGGCAAGTCTTCTGGTAGATGTCTATGTCCCGGTGAGATGTGAGATTTCATAAACCCTCACTATCCCGTCCTCATCACTCGGCAAGTCTTCTGGTAGATGTCTATGTCCCGGTGAGATGTGAGATCTCATAAACCCTCACTATCCCATCCCCATCACTCGGCAAGTCTTCTGGTAGATGTCTATGTCCCGGTGAGATGTGAGATCTCACCCTCACCATCCCGTCCCCATCACTCGGCAAGTCTTCTGGTAGGTCTATGTCCCGGTGAGATATGAGATCTCATACACCCTCACTATCCCATCCCCATCACTCGGCAAGTCTTCTGGTAGGTCTATGTCCTGGTTAATGTGAGATCTCATACACCCTCACTATCACGTCCCCATCACTGGGCAAGTCTTCTGGTAGATGTCTATGTCCCGGTGAGATGTGAGATCTCATACACCCTCACTATCCCGTCCTCATCACTCGGCAAGTCTTCTGGTAGGTCTATGTCGCTGTGAGATCTCATACACCCTCACTATCACGTCCCCATCACTCGGCAAGTCTTCTGGTAGGTCTATGTCCCGGTGAGATGTGAGATCTCATACACCCTCACTATCACGTCCCCATGACTGGGCAAGTCTTCTGGTAGATGTCTATGTCCCGGTGAGATGTTAGATCTCATACACCCTCACTATCCCATCCCCATCACTCGGCAAGTCTTCTGGTAGGTCTATGTCCCGGTGAGATGTTAGATCTCATACACCCTCACCATCTCGTCCTCATCACTGGGCAAGTCTTCTGCTAGATGTCTATGTCCCGGTCAGATGTGAGATCTCATACACCCTCACTATCCCAAACCCATTATTCGGCAACAAGTCTCTCTGTAGGATGCCTGTTCTGGTGGATGGGGGG